CTACCCCCTCCTGTCCCCCGGGAGAATGAGGTGGCTCTGAGGCTGGCTCGATAAATATATAGGCAAAGTTTTGTAACATGGTAAGTGCGCCCCGCCCCCCCCCTCTTTCCCTTCGCTTTCACGCCGCGCCACGACGCCACGCCTCGCTGCGCACCGCGCGGACAAGAAGGCGAAGGAGAGCAGGCCGAGCAGGGCGAGGAGCTGACCGAGGAGGCGCGGAGGCGCGGAGGTATTGTGCTGGGTATGAATTACTTCTTTTTATTAAATTTTGCTCTGTACCCTTATTACGAGCTGGGGTGGGTACAGAGGTATGGTGTTCCTGTTGGGAGACGACGGTGTTCTCGTTTTCCTTCCGGCTGGACTTATGACCCCGGCGGGACCTTCGCCCCGGTAGAAGACTTTAATAAGCGCCACCTTCCGACCTCCCGTGCACCTCGGACACGTACCATAGCGCCTGCCTCCCAGTCAGTGGTGCCCCGCGGAGCAGAGGAGGGTATGGATGCAGTCATTATTAGTCTCTTGCTCCCCCTCCCTCCCCCCCCCCCCCTTCCCTTGGTGAAACGCGACGCGACGGGGAGGGAAATGAGATTCTCTCGTCTTTCATCACCGTATAAAACCGACATTGCGCACGAGGAAACCTATTGACCGTATTTTACTCCCCTCCACAAACAGCCTTTAAAATCTCCCCTCTGCCCTCCACCACGCTTCTCTGGAGAGTGGTTACTTTCTATCTTTCTCTCTCTCTCTCGTTCTGTGTGTCTCTCTCTCTCTTTTCCTCTCTCCCTCCCTGCGCCTCTCTCTCTCTCTCTCTATCTTGGCCTCGCGCGCGCCGTTCCGCCCCGCGCTCCAGCGTGGCTCCGCCGTGCTACTGTAGTCGATTTGGATGCGGTTTCCATGGCAACGTCTCTCCTCGCTCCCCCACCCTCTCTCTCTCTCCTCTATGCGAGCGGCGTCGACGCGCCGGCTTCACAACCCCTCGCCTCTTCCCCACCCCCCTTGTGGCAACCTCCGCCCCCCTTACCCCCACTACTGTCCGCGCCACCAAATATGACCGTCCCCTTTCTCGGCTAAGCGCCCCCCGCCTCCGTCCCTCTGCAGCCCGTCGGACCGCGCTGCGGCGGCGGCCCGTCCGCCGGGCGGTGCTTTTGTCCCGGTTTAAATCCGCCGACCGGGGGGTCGCCTCGTTGATGTGTCCGACGGTATATGGTGTCGGCCGTTTGCTTTCGTCGCTTCATCACGGCCGCGCATGTCGCACTGTTAAAAGATGCCGGTTTGCTTACGGTCCGGGTCCGTCCCGTATATTTTAGGAACGGACCATAGACAGTAAAGATATGGACCGCCCCTACTCTGGCGTCCTTCAGTATCTAAGTCAGGTGCTGCATTGACCAAAAAGGCGGTTTGCGAAGTTACGGTACACCCCCTGTGCGGAGTGAGGGAAAAAGCGCGCGGGTCGGGGCGATGTCTCAATGCCCTACTCCTGCTCCTCGTCTCGGAGTGAGGTGCGGCGGCCGCACGAGGCTGGGGGGCGGCGACGGCACGGCGACAGCGTTGGCGACAGCGCGAAGTAGACGACATTTCATTGCCTTTCCCTTCAACGAGCGAAGCGCGTGGCGCAGCAGGGGTGGCAACCCTCTTGCTTTGCTCTCCATCCCTCTGCCCCTCCCCCCCCCATACCCCTTCCGGGTGGTGGTCTCTCGGGGTCTCTCTTACTCTCCCCTCCTCTCCAACTCTCCCCAACTTTCTCGCTCGCACGCGCGTCCGCTTTGTCGACACCCAGTTACGGGTCTCGCAATGACTCTCCCCTCTCCCCCTCGCCTCCCCTCCCCTTGACGCCACGCCCCCGCCTCGTTTCGTGTCTGGAATCCCGGAATCCCGCCAAACGACGGGCCATGCGTCGAGCTGTTCCGAGCCGAGCCGAGCCGAGTCGAGCCGAGCCGCGCCGAGCCGAGCCGAGCCGAGCCGAGCCGAGCCGAGCCGAGCCGAGCCGAGCCGAGCCGAGCCGAGCCGAGCCGAGCCGAGCCGCTTAAGCAGCCCTTAGCGCTTTTGTTCAGAGAGGGATGTGCCGTGTGGTAAGTCCGTACGGGCGCCAACTTGCGTTCTAGCGAGGTGTGTGAAACGGAAACAAAAGAACAAACTCGACAATGAAAACCAAAATTTGTTCTGCTTTAGCTGCAAGTGACGTCGTGCCGTACGGCGTATCACACATGCTGCGCAAACACCTGAGTAAGCAGCGCGCCTTCTCATGGGGGGCACACTGCTGCGCCGCCGCCGAGAGCCACGGGCTGAGCCGAGAGCAGGGAGCAGAGCGTCCCCGAGGAACCGGAACCACCCGAACTCACCCTCTCGCCTGCTCAGCGCCTCCTCTCCATCTCCCTTCCTGATACTCCACTTCAGCTCCTCTCTCTTTCTCCCCCCCCCCTCTCTCTCGCACACTCACACCCAACACAGCACTCTCCCACCCCGACCCCCTCACCACCGCTACTTCAGACTTAGCCAAGTTTGCACGGCAGCACAACACGGCTGGCAGCCCCCGGCCCCGTCCACCTCGCCCCCCGGCCCTAGCCGAGAGCGCCCGCGGAGCGCAGGGTAGGCAACGCGCCCGACACGCCTGCCCGGCGGGCCGGCCCGCCCTGGAGTTCTCAGGCGCCCTCCGCCCTGATGATGGCAGCGTTGTGGTAACCAGCACCGGGGCGGGGTAGGCACCGCGCCCGACATGCCTGCCGGGCGGGCCGGCCCCGCCCTGGAGCTCTCAGGCGTTCTCTGCCCTGACGACGGCAGCGTTGTGCTGCTTATACACCCGCCGCCAGCAGAGAGGCGGAGGCGAGCGGGTAGGGAACACGATATCCGATTACATGGATGAACTTCTCGTCAACTTCATTAGCGGGCCCTGTACACACACAAAAGGTGTTTGATGTAGGAGGCGCTACTGTTCTCGGTTTGCGACTCTCTTTTTCCGACCTGGACATAAAGCACCCCTTCTCTAAGGCTGTGAATTCGGATGGCTGCAGCACACGGCTTCGGAACCGCAGTATCAGGGAAAGGTATGGGGGAACAAATCTGCCTGGCGGAAGCAGTTTGTGGGGAGTATTACCTAATCAGCAAGACACAGAGTTCCGCCACCGCTGGTGCTGGTGCTGCCGCTGCTGGGCGCTCTGCGGCAGGACTAATTGTAGTGCTCCCTGAGTGGGGCGTGCTGCCGCTGCCGGGCAAGGGTAAGGGGGGGACAGCCCTTTGGGGAGAGTGGAGGAGAGGCTGTCAACGGAGAGAACAAGCCGTAAAACGAGACGACGAGAAACAAAGGGGAGAGAGCTCGGGAGAGCGGGAGCGAGAGAGTCATGTGAGTGTGTGTGTCTGTGAGAGAGAGAAAAAGGGGGGGGGGAGGAGGTATGTGTGGGTATCAAACGAAGGGGTGTAGAGCCGGGTGCGGTGCCAGGCGATCCGGTCCCGACTGGTCAGACCACCAGGCCTACAGGCGCATTACATTAACTGCAAAGTAAAATCTCGGTCCAGCGCCCCCCCCCCTTTCCAGTCAGTGTACTCCAGTGAATCCCTTTTACAAACCCCGGGGTTTAATTAGTGTAAATTTTGCTGGCGCGGCCTTGCATTCAAATTAGTGCGTCGGCCGCGCCGGTCAGGGCTACCACAAGCACGCGGGGTTAGGGGGCGGGGGGAGGGAACACCACAATAAGAATAAAAACGAGGAGGGGAGGGGGCACTTTGCCTGCCGGTGGTAGAGACCGTCCTGGGGTCTAAAAAAAGGGGCGGAGGAGGGGGTATGTCTAGAGAAAACAACGAGCAAGCTGCCACCAACGCTGACCGTTTCAGCTACAAAGCTGCGAAGCAAAACTCAAGTCGACACGTCAACGCTTTTCCAAGTTTCGTATAGCATCATTTTGATTCGTGACGCAACATCGCCTCGAGCAGCGATAGCAGCAGTCGGCAGTCGAGTCAGACCCGTGTCCTGGATCGGATCGCGGCGGCGTGGAGGCCGACCCGCTTCTATCTCTCGCTCCGCCCCGTCTTGCCGTCACCGCCGCGGCGCCGCGCCGGTTTGTCTGACAGGCTGCCGCCCCCGGAGGCGGGCACGAGGGCGGCGGGGGCAGCGGGGGCAGCGGGGGCAGCGG